ATATATAGCCTTGGCAGCTAAAATGAATTATTTAAATTTATTAATTAAAATTAATAAGTTTAAGCTAACCAAAATATTTAAAATAAAAAACTAATGAAAAGCTAAATGCCAAAATGAAAACTGAAGTAAAAACTAAAAGCTAATTAGAAATATCAATAAATACTATAATAGTATAGAAATACTAACATTGCATTGCTTTGAATAATAGAGAAAAATCCTGCTGTCACTATCACATACTAAAATAACTAATAGTATGAATAGAATTGCTAAAGTGAATTAAATTAAACAAAAATAGATCAAATAAAACAATAGCTTTAAATGAAATTAAATGAATACAAGTCATGCTCAGGCATATTAATGGACATGTACTTTTTGCCCATTTCATTAGCACTGTAACATGCTTTGTATCATTAGTAATATGGGCTGGAACCATACAATGCTGTGGTATGGCCTAAAGTGTGTTAAATGACAACCCAAGTCTTTATAAAATCATCTAAATTATAGCATTGCAAATAAAATAGTTCTGTAGTGTTCTTACATTCTCCCATTGAGGTTCTCTCATGAAGTGCATTCCCTGCCATTAAAGTGCTCTCAAGAAATAGTCACATCTGGTGGAAATCTGTAAAGCATGCAATGGTCTTTTAACCCTCTATGAAAAAAACAGCGATGGATAAATAAAACTAGAAATTATAGCTATCCTTTATTTCAGACCACAGGGTCTCAATGGATACAGAAATCCATCATAAAACATACATGAACATTATGAAATACCACTATGGAGAAAAATATGAAGAAACATCTGAAAATGTATTGTATGTCTTTATATGATACAATTCAGCAAGTAAATGCTTGTTAAACCAAGTCTAATTGCCTTTTTCAGAATTTTACTAGACATTGAGAAAAAATATTTTATTATTGGATTTTGTTACATTATGCATTATATTAAATATTGATTTAAAACAAAATGAAATATTTTTTAAATCAGTTCAGTTCTGTATGATATTGCAGAAGAAATCATTGTGAGGGCAAATTAAAAATTATTTTTTTAAATCCCAGAAAATTTAAAGCTAAAGTGTGTAATTTCTGCACCACCAAATAATTATTACAAAAATTATTGTTGTCAAATAGGTTTTCCAAACACTCCTATCATCTATTGGTTGGACAAACAGCCTTTGGTTGGGCAGGGTTGTGGTGTTGGGCTGGTTGTGATGCCCAAAACAAACAGAGCAAGGTTTTGACAGCAGTTTTAACGTCTAATGAAGTTACACACTTCACCTTTAACCAGGACAATTGAACTGTTTAGTGATATTAATCCGAATGAATAATCAGATACATTGCCTACTAAGACACACTTACCCACAGTAGTCACACACAAAGTCCTCACACATACATCGGTGACAACAGTGAACATAAACAGCATTTGTCTATTCCCAGTGTACACAAATACACACACATTAGTCTATTCACAGTACATCAGCCTACTTGTACTATATAGTCTACCTTGCACAAATACTCTGACTGTTACTGTGTGTGCTATGGCAAGGACTGATATCTATATATACAGTATAGCTACCAGTCACAAGTTTGGACTAATTAAACATTTTTAATGTTTTTGAAATAAGTCTCTCATGCTCACCAAGGCTGCATTTATTAGAATACATTAGAATGATTTCTGAAGGATCATGTGACACTGAAGACTGAAGAAGAAATGACGGCTGAAAATTCAGCTTTGCCCTCATAGGGCTAAATTACATTTTAGAGTAGAAAACGTTCTTTAAAATTGTAATATTTCACAATATTACTGCTTTTAATGAAATAAATGCAGCTTTGGTGTTCTTACAAAACATTATAAAAACCTAATTTGTGTGGGTGTATACAGATAAATGATATCTGTAGACTTTTTTTGTGCAGAAATCGGTGTAGAATAATGCAGCTATTCTTTATAAGACTCTCTCAAAAGTGCTGATAAAGTGAATATTAAAGGGGTAGTTCATCCAAAAATGACAATTTCATCATCATTGTTCCAAAGTTGTATGATTTTCTTTATGTTGCGCACACACACACACACACACACACACACACACACACACACACACAACACACACACACACACACAACACACACACACAACACACACACACAAAAGATATTATGGTAAAGTCTGGTAACCAAACAGTCGCTGGTAGCCATCGACTTCCATAGTATATAAAGAAGGAGAAGTAGTAAAATAAAAACTATGGAATTCAACTGTTTGGTTACCAACATTCTTCTAAATGTTCAGCACAAGAAACATGAAGGTGAGTTAATGATTACAAAATTTATTTTTTGTGTGAACTATCCCTTTAAGGACATGAATACTAGTTGTGCTGAAATCAGAGCATTTCTTCCTTCTCTGAGCCAATTGCAGTGCCACGAGATGCCACACTTGTCAGGGTCTTTGGCAACTACAAATTACAGGAAAAAAAGAATACAATCCAATGCAAAGTTGTTTTGAAAGATCTGCCAGAAGCCCATCATGTAACTGTTATCAACACGATTAGGTTTCATTTAAAAGGAATGGGCTATATGTTTCTCTGTAGCAACATGACCAGGCTTATGACAGAGGCAAACACTGTTGATACAGAAAAAATGCTGCAGGTTGTCAGCATTAAATTTAAATTATATACCTTACTGATACTACCTATACATTAACCTTTGTAATATACAAAATCATTGTCAGAGGTTCCCT